GGTGGTGGAGGTAGATTGCCTGGCTAGGTTCAGAAAGGGAGCAGACCAATTAATGGATGATAGATCTCTTAAGAGCTGTGAACAGAACAGTTGGAGATGTTTCCTCTGGCATCTCTAAACCAGTGATGAAGGGAGGGTAATGGATAGGGGTTAGATCACTCTAGATCAGGGGCAGGCAATTATTTTGGGTGGAGGGCCGCTTACTGAGTTTTGGCAAGCCATCCAGGGGCACATGCCAGGTAGCCAAGGGCAGATAAATATTAAGTTTCTAAATTTTTTAGGGACCCCACAGGCCAGATGGAATGGCCTGGCAGGTGGCATTTGGCCCGCGGGCCGCATTTTGCCCACCCCTGCTCTAGATCTATCTGGTTCATCAGCGTTCGCTTTCTCTAGCACTGTTGGAGGCAGGGAACTAAGCTAGACTGACCATTCGTCTGACCCAGTGTGGCACTTCTTAGGTTCTTATGTACAATGAGTATTGCAGTGTCCCAGATGCAGAGGAACCATGTGAGGCTCAGAGCACGTATTGTGCGTTGGCCTTGCTGGAGTGGCTGCTGGGGCATTCGGTGAAGCAGAGGTGTGTGTGGTCACTCCAGCTTGCATGTGCTCACTCTGCCTATAGCACTTTGCAGTGCCCCCTCCTCCCCCCCACGCCCAGCACTCTGAATGGGGCATTCTGGTGCCCCAGCGCAGTGCTCACACCATGAGTTGTCTTTTACTGGTAGGGGAACACGTCCTTTCCAGAATGCTGTGCACGCTGGTGGTGTAAATGGCTGTGCCTCAGGGCTGGGGGCTTTCCCTGAGGGGGCAGAAACAGACAGCAGGGTTCTGCCTGTGATTGCTGTCTCCTGCTCGCTGAGCACCAGTGTGGAGCAGCCCTAGCAAAGCGCTGTCAGAGCCTGCTGGGGCACCTCTACAGGACCTGAGGACTGAAGGATTTGTCCCTGGAGGCCAAGGTTTCCCCTTCCCAGTCACATGCCAGTGAGGGGCATGAATGCTAAAGTTTCTGTTTCCAGCCCTGGGCCTGGGCAAAGCTGCTTCAATGCATGCCCTTGATGCTGGTTTAGCCTAGCAGGCCTCCTGAACACATGCTGAGCTTCCCTCGTGCTGGAGTCTTGTTCTCTGGGGCCTCCTGAAGCTAAGGTGGACCGTCAGCTCCTCTACCCAGTCCCAGGTGCTACTCTAGGATGCAGGGGTGAATGCAGAGTAGCTTCCATGATTTTAGCAGAGATGTTCTGGACAGAGACTGAATCTAGTTTACAGCTGGAAGTTTGCAGGGAAACACCAGAATTCTTGTGCCTTCTCCTGTCCGGGTCAGGCAGCTGCAGCAGGGCGAGCGGCAAAGGAAATGAGACCTGTTTTCTTCTCTCCCTTCCTTACTGACGCTAGCAGGGGATCTGTAGCAGGAAGGGTTCATGGGTGCAGCACTGTGGGCTAGGCCTCGGGTCAATGCAAATCAGAAGTAAGGGGGTTGGGGTTGGGGTTGGGGTGGGAATGAGCTGAGCTCCACACCCCTAGATGGATCCAGGGGGAGGGGGCTGTCTGTAGCAGGGGTCTTTCTGTGGTCTAAACCGTCAGATGCACTCTGGTGCTGTGGTTCAACCCTGCGTTGGTCTTGCTTTGTGGTTCACGTACAGGCAGGGACCCAGGCTCCTACAGATCCAGTGCACATGGGGCCATTGCTTTAACCAAGCATGTGTACTACTTGCACTTGGGAAGTGGTGTTTTCAGATGCACAGGGATGATAACAGCCCAGCACCCTCCAGCTGTCAATGCTCTAGCAGAGCTTAGAAACAGCCTTCAGGAGAAAAAGGTTGTGGGAGAAGAAAGATCGATGCAATGGGGAAGGTGTGTGTGCGCTTGCCTGAAGCCCTATCTGACCACAACAATGCCAGCAGTAAAGAAGCCAAAGGTCATGGGGAAATCTGAATGCAGAGGACTGGAGAGTGATGCCTGTGCTCCGTGTCCTGTCCCAGAGCGCTCTGTAGCTGGAACTTGAGGCCTGGGCCACCAGTGGATTATTGGCCACAGAGAAGGAAACTGAGGCAAGGAGCAATGAAGTGCCTTGTCTACATCAAGGCAGGGGACCGATCCCAGGACTGCCAGTCCTCAGCCCTGCTCCCACCCTGCCTGCCTCCCAGAGCTGAGCAGTGCTGTTCCCTGGCTACATTGCTGGTTTATGGTGGATGATTTCTCAGGGTCGCCCTTGCCCCGCTGGCTTTCACAGCCTGGCTGGCATGATGCTGCAGGGCTCTGACAACCTGCCAGACTGCTTGGCCCTACAGCTGCCGCCTGTCCTGCAAAGCTACCATCTGCTTCCAGCTCTGCTCCTCTTGACATCTTCATTTGGAGGGAGCCAGCTGTGAGGTGCTGGCGCCAGTCAAGCCCAGGATGCCAACGTGGCTGGCAGTCCACTCCAGCCCGACAGCTGGTGCCTCGCTGCCCCATGGCTGCCTGTAGGAGCAGGGATCCATCCCCACACCCTCAGCTGGCAGAATGTGAAAGGGAAGGGCAGGGGGCTATTCAGGAATCAAAGCAGACATCACGGTTGATTAATTACCTTAATTTGCACATGAAACTGGGACCGCAGGTCCCCTGCAGGCCCTGCCTGTTCCTCTGCTTGTAACCAAGGCTGGGACAGGCAGAGGTAACCAAGGAGGGAGCGCTCCCCAAGCCCTGGGCATCCTCTCATTGAGGGCTGACTCTTAAGCCTCCCTCTGCCTCTGTGCTGCTCCATCCTGCCCCCAAGAGGCTTCATGCCTCCCATTTGTGCTGGACCAGGCCTTTCACCTTGGAGTCCTTTACTTCGTGGGAACTGCAGAGATGAGCTGCTACTGCTGGGCTCCAGTGTCCCCAGAGCTTAACCCTTTGGGAGCCAGCAGGTAGCAAATACATCAGTCAGGATAAACTGAGGCATGCCAGATTTTCAAAAGAAATGCAGAAAGCCCCCACATTCTTCACAGGGTCCAAGTCGCAGTCCCTGGAGGCAGGCAGGCATGCAGTTTGGGGAGGGGGTGGAGTGGGATGGGGTTAAGGGGACCATATTGGCCCTGAGCATGGGCAGAAGTGGGATGGGAGCTGGGTCTATGTGTTCATGATCTAGATGTTGGTTGCATTTTCTTTGAATCCCAGGTGAGGCGACGCACCCAGGATTATGGCAACTTCCCCAGACTCCTCCATGCTCCTTCTCCTATGTGTCCTGGTTCTCTCTGACATCAGCCCAGTGAGTGCTTTGGACACCAGTGCGAAGGCCAAAACCACCCCTGAGAACAACAACCATTTTCAAAGCCCAGAGCTGTGGCAACCTCCGCCATCCATGGGGCACCACCGCAGGCACGGTGTGGCCAGGAAGGACAGGGCCCACGGTGCAGCATCCAGAGGGCGGATCTCAGGGGAGGAGGCCCTCAAGCTAGGGAGCAGGCCTCCAGGGGTGGAAGCCCTGGCAGCAGTCGAACGGCCTGCTGCCCTGAAGCAAAAGAAGGATGTGTTTCTGGGCTTTGAGTTCCCCTATTCCGAGAGGGAGAACCAGTCCCCTGGATCCGACAGGGGGAAGAAACAGAGTCGGGAGCACCGTCGACACAGCCGCAGGGACAGGCTGAAACAGCACAGAGGTATCTGGACTCCATGGGGTGCTCATAGCACCTTCAGTTGACGTATGTGTATGAGCAGCTGGGTGTTTAGCTGGGCAGAGTGGAGCATGTCTGCTGTGGGATGTGCGCGGGAGGGAGCTGGGGAGCCAGCCTCTCCAGTGGGCAAAAGGGGAACTCTGACATCGGAGGTGTTCGTGGTTCCTTGCAGTTTGGTGCAAACAGGCTCGGTTTGGTGCAGGAGGGAGCCCTGGCCACGCCATTGGCTTCAGGCCTGGGGAGAGTTTGTTCAGTTGTGGACTGTATGACTGATACTGTTGCTTTTGCTCCAATGGGCCATGGGATGAGCCAACAAATTGCAGGCGTGGCCAGAAGCTCCAGGGCTGACCTTGCAATGTGCCCAGAACTAGCAATGAAAGAAAAACCCATGTGGGGGGAAATTGAGAGCATGGGGGGGGACACTTTTTGGCACCAGCATGTGAATTTTCCCAGCTTGGGTCAGAAGCCAACTGAGCAGAGTCGTGTGAAAAATGTCGATTTTGCAGGTGCAAAATCACCCAATCCAAAAGCTGCTGTAATATAACAAGGACCTGGTTTCTCTCTTGGCTGGAGCTCTTTGTGTGAGCTCTCCCAGGGCCAAGCCCTCAGCTGGGGAAAATCAATACATTTCCATTCCAGCCAGTGTAGTGCAGCAGTTTACACAACTTGAGAGCCTGGTGGCTGTTTGTTCACTTTATTTCAGTCTCTCTCCTCCCATTGACTCTGGGTTTCTGGCTGTATCTCTTTTGTAGTTTGCAGTCCCCCTGCAAGTTGTCTATTCTGTGTTTGTGCAGCACCTAGCCCAGTGGTGTCCCTGGTCTAGGGTTGGGGCTCCCTGTTGCCACCATTAACCAAATATTATCCTATAATAACAGTAAAGAGATGGGGTGGCCCTCTCTGAGCCTCACCTGTGAGAGATGGGCTTGGAATGGGATGGGCAGGAATCAGTCTCCTCCCCTGCCCTCAGATCCCAGTGGATGTGCATGGGAAGGTGGCTGTGGTCCCACTGCCCATGTGGGGAGAGCTTCACAGCCCCCCACCCCGGGGGCAGAGGGCTGAAGAAGATGAAGCTTGTGTCCTTCTCACCTCTGGCAGGCAAAGGCCCTGACCCCGGGCTGAGCTCTCTGTACAAGAAGCCGGAGCACTTTGAGGAGCAGTTTCCAAACCTCCCGGGGGAAGATCCCAGCAGCCTGGTCCCCACTGAGCTCCTCTTCACCACGCCAGACACAGCCGCTTCCACTGAGGAGCCGTCTGCTCTTCGTGCCACATCCCCTCGGCCCCAGGTACGGGGCAGCTACTATGCACCTGGTATAGGTGATTGGCTGGGATTTTCCAAGGGACGAAGGGAGCAAAGTAACTGGTTCCTGCAGTTGAGAATGGCCATCCCTTCTCACCTACAGACAGCGGGCTCTTGTGGAGAGGAGGCAGGGTTTGCTCAGGGCCATCTTCTCCCTGCACCCACAATGAGATGCCCAGACCTCCCCAGACGTATAATTCCCTTCCAGCCCCTTCCAGTCATCTCCTTCCACTCAGGCTGTATCCTGGCTCCCCTCCTGAGACACAACGGGGCACCTCTTCCTCATTGAGATGTCCCTTGATTTTAGGCATCCTGCCCAACCCCTGCTGGCCTCCCAGGAGCTCTCTGTCTATCCTTCTTGGAAGCAAAAGTGTGGAGTATGTGGGGGCTCGAGGGCCCTGGCCCCCCTCGGGAAGAGGGCTGTCACCTAAAATGCATAAAACTTTCCACATGTCCATCATCTTAAGCCCCTTCTGGCAAAAGTAAAAGTCAGCTCCTCCACTGGGAAGCACAGCCTCAGAGATCAAGGAGGCAGGATTTAATGGGTTGTACAACTAGGTCTGCAGCTGACTTGCTCTGAAGCCATAAGGGGGGAATTTTCAGCACATGGCATTGATCTAACATCCCCATTGAAGTCAGCAGGAGTATGGCTAATCTCCCCTTCAAACTCCCCCTACCGCCCATTTCCTGTCTGCTGTGGCCCCTTCCCAAGGCAGCAGGGGAAAGGACTGTGGGGGCTTATTAGTGTCCTAAAGAACCTGAAGACCTTTATATAGGAGTCACTTCCAAGAGACAAGCTACTTACTACTTTGCTCCTTGTCACCTGCAGGTCCGCATCAGGCAGGATGGGGATGTGATGCCCACCCTGGACATGGCTCTGTTTGACTGGACAGATTATGAAGATCTCAAGCCAGAAATGTGGCTGTCTGCCAAGAAGAAAGGTACTGTACTTCCAGGGGAATCACTATCACCCCTTCCCTCTTCACCTGTGCTCTAAGATCAGGATGAGGAAGGGGGCGGCGGTCACAACTGTGCTGGAAACTGAAGAAAAGGCTTGATGGTGGCATTGCAAGGGGAGAGAAAAAGCTTTAAACTGTCTTGGTGTCCTAGTTAGACTGACTGTAGAGCTAGTCATGGCTATCACGTCCCTGCCTGCTTGCTCCCAAACTGTGTTCTCATCAAGATGAGGATGCATGTAGCAAGTTGAGAACCTTTCAGGCCAACGCACATCATAGACACGTCTCTGTTTCCATGCAAACCTCGCTGAACCCTTCACCTAACCAGGAGGGTGCTCTGTCAGGATGTGATGTGGCATTTGCAAGCTTTCCTCCTCTCGTTTCGTTAGCTGACACACGCTCTGTTCTAATTGCTTCAGATTTCCCCCATTAAAAGCAAATGGTTTCTACGCCTTATTACATTATTTATTTGGTGCTTTCACGTGTAGCTGGAAATAGAATAGACCTGTCAGTGGAGGTGGCCTAGACTGCTGTGATCCTATCCTTAGACGTACTTGAGGAGCAAATGCGCAATCAAGACATTGATTGTATTGCTTTTACAATTAACTCAATTAACCATAGTTGATTGTTTAGGCTTCTACTTGATCCTCCCTCTGTCCATCTGCGTTTCATGCTCTGGAGCATTGTGTTCCTAGCCCGTCCATCAGTTTTTATCTGGGTTACGATCAGTTAGAGGCAGAAGAGATTAGAATGGAGACTTCCTCTGTTCTTAGTGAGCAGCCAAGCTTGTGCAGAAGCAGAGAGTGGACTGAGCTGCACTTTTGATTAGCACTTCCTTAGATCCTGGATAACTTAGTCCTGGGTCTGCTTCTAGCAAAGGGCAATGGTCTCTGAAGCTTTTAAAGGCCTCCCACTCCATCCAAGTAGTGGTAGGTATTGTCTGAAATAGCAAAAGTGAACGTGCAAGAAGGCTGAAGTAGCTGAGAACTGGGACGGTTTCACCAGACCAGGCCATGTGGACCCCTGTGAGGTTTGGTTGGCTGGAAACTCAACTGTCTCACTGAGTTTCATCAACCAGTCACTCTTCTCCTCCCTAGAGAAACGCCGTAGTAAGAACCCCAACAGTGGGAATGAAACCTCACCAGCTGAAGGAGAGCCGTGTGACCACCACCTTGATTGCCTCCCAGGTGAGGGTCAGCCTCATACATAAAGACCACTGATTGCACAGATGGATCTCAAATTCGTTGCGTTTGGTCTCTGGACTGGATTGTGAGATTTGTGGGGAGAGTTATTATGGTTTTCCATGAGAGGGTACAGAGGTGAGCATGAAGACTGTAGAGGACCTGGCAGAGAGCATGCAGAGCAATGCTGCCCGAGGTCGGTGTAAGTCGTGGGGAGTGGGGGGTGCCTTGGCTGCGCACTCTCTTGACTGCGTGGCTGGTGGCTTGCTGTGTTGGCAGGTTCGTGCTGTGACCTCCGTGAGCACCTCTGCAAACCGCACAATCGAGGCCTTAACAACAAGTGTTACGATGACTGCATGTGCACTGAAGGTGAGTCCAAGTCCTGGTTTCCTCCTCAGAGCAGGTCCAGAGACATATTAGGCTATAC